TCCACCTCACTACCTGATCATCCAGACCACACTTCCTCAATTTAGCTGTGAGGATGCTGTGGGAGACTGTGTCAAATGCTTTGCTGAAGTCAAGCTAGACCACATCCACTGCTCTGCCATCATCCATCCACCGTGTTATCTCCTCATAAAAGGCTATGAGATTGGTCAAGCATGATTCCCCCCTGGTGAAGCCATGTTGACTGCCCCTCATAACCCTCTTATCCTTGATATGCCTTAAGATGGCACCAAGGATAAGGTGTTCCATCACTTTCCCAGGGATGGAGGTGAGGCTGACCGGTCTATAGTTACCCGGGTCCTCCTTCTTGCCCTTTTTGAAGACTGGAGTGACATTTGCTTTCCTCCAGTCCTCAGGCACCTCTCCCATTTCCCAAGACTTGATAAAGATGATGGAGAGTGGTCTAGCAATGACTTCCGCCAGTTCCCTCAGCACCCGCGGGTGCATCCCATCTGGACCCGTTGATTTATGAATGTCCAGATTGCTCAACTGGTCTCTAACCCATTCCTCATCGACTAAGGCAAACTGCTCTGTTGACCTGACTTCATCTAAGGTCTCAGGGGTACAGGGCTTTTCAGGACTGCCTGCAGCAGAGTAGACAGAGACAAAGAAGGCATTCAGTAACTCTGCCATCTCTGTATCTTCTGTCACCAGGGCACCCATCCCGTTCATCAGTGGGCCTACATTGCCTCTGGTGTTAGTTTTATCTGCCATGTATTTGAAAAAGCTTTTTGCTGTCCTTGACCCTTCTCACCAGGTTTAATTCTAAGGAGGCCTTAGTCATCCTAGCTGCCTTCCTACATCCTCTAGCAGCAGCCTTATATTCCTCCCAAGTGGCCAGCCCCTCCTTCCATGACCTGTAAACTCTCCTCTTCCGCTTGAGCATACCCAGCAATTCCCTGTTTAGCCACGCAGGTCTCCTGGCCCTCTTCCTTGACTTCCTACATGTCGGGATGCTCTGATCTTGAGCTCGGAAAAAGCAGTCCTTGAATGCCAACCAACTATCTTGGGCCCATTTACCTTCAAGCAGCCTTGCCCATGGGATTTCCCCCAGCAATTGCTTGAAAAGGCCAAAGTTTGCCCTGCTAAAGTCCAGGGTTGCAATTCTACTTGCTATTCTACTGGTCCTACCACACAAGATCCTGAATTCCACCATCTCGTGGTCGCTGCAACCAAGGCAGCCCTCAACCCTTACTGCTTCGACCAGACCTTCCTTGTTAGTGAGGATGAGATCCAGCGGCGCTCCTCTCCTGGTCGGCTCATCCACCATTTGCAGGAGGAAGTTATCATCCATACACTGGAGGAACCTCCTGGACTGTGGCTGGGTTGCTGAGTAGTCCTTCCAGCAAATATCAGGGAAGTTAAAATCCCCCACGATGACCACGGCCTGTGACTGTGAGGCCACTCTCAGCTGCCTGTAGAAGACCTCGTCAACTTCCTCACCCTGATCTGGTGGCCTGTAACAGACACCCACAACAGTATCACTCCTGCCAGCCTGCCCCTTAATTCTCACCCACAGAGTTGCAAGTATTCTTGCAACTCAATTCAGCTGTAATTCTTTTAAATTCACATGCTGTGTTGTCTTACAGTTTATCACACAACATGTGCCTGTAAACCCTTCACTCTAAGAACCTTGTAATGTGACTCACTTTAAACCTTTGACCTTATCACATTTTACCTCTCTTGCCCATCCCATCCTCAATTCACTGCCATTCAAGCTCTTCCCTCTGCTAACATCTGACACATTAAAGCTTAGCTGATCATCACAGCACTCATCCCTTTCTTCTGCCATACTTGTTTGAGATGTTTCTGTATGTGTATTGGATTGGGCTTCCTCTCTCTCTATGAAGGACATCATAATTGTCTCCCAGGTAGTCTTGTACCTTGTACTTGCAGTGCCTTCCAGCATCTTCTGTGCATTGTCGTTCTTTCAAGAAAGCAATTTTCTTGTGAATTAAGCAACTTTCTTTTGTAGTCTGGCTGCTAGTCCAGCTTTGGATGTGGATTTGCTGCAATCTACTTTATATAGTCTCAACAACAGTCAGATTTAGGAAGAATATCAAAACCATATAACACTAAAATTATTTGATGTGTAAACTCAAACATAAATTCAGAGTGACACTCAAGCTGGCAAACAAGGGATCCACTCCATCCAGGAACCAGGCAGCAGCATGTTTATCAAGTAGACCTCTGTTCTTTGACTCTTTCCTCATTTCCCTCACACTCTCTCTTCCATTCAGCTGCTTGAGGAAGATCATGAACTCATTCTGTACCTACCCAGCATTTAATTCTGTAGGAAGCACACTGTATACTCTTTCTATCCTATTTGCTAATTAAAGAGACATGCATGTAAACTTGTGGGTTGTGGTTTTTTTTCATCTTTTAATTAGGAAAAAGTATTATGAAATGCATTAGGAAACTTCTTGAATCAAACTTTCTTTTTTAATATCAGTCTGCTTATATATAACATGTTCCATTCTCTCTCACCAAAAGGCTGCTTTTTTAAATATGCACATTGATGTCCTCTGGTGGTCCAAGTAATAATATGGTGATGATAGCAGAAATAACTCTCTCTATGCTTCATTTTATTATGATATGATTAAATCCAAACCTTTTCAGTGAGATAATCACATAGGATGAAACAGAAAGACATAAGGAAAAAGAGATAAGATATGATCTCAAATTGTTTAACATAAAATCTCAATGCCTCTTTTTGCCAAAGCCCATTTCAGAAACTGATTTCATGTAATAAACAATTGTGTACAAAAGATTTCTGGCCTCAGGTCAGACTAGCCATGGGATACAACATGAATTCCTATTCTTCCTCACCATGTCTTGGAGGTATCCCACACACTGCCTTGACTAAGAAGACAAGATACGCTGCTGCTGTGGGAAACAAGTTAGGATCATATCATACACATTAACCAGTGGATATTGAGTAGATGAAGTGGTAGATAGAGAGGGAAGGCTCTTATCTGTAATGGCACAGAATATCTGTGGGGCATTTATGATCTTTAAAATACAGCCAGTATTTTCCTTCTTTGCAAAATTCTTCAGAGCCCCCAAGTAGAAACGGCTTGCTCCACTGAAACTTCTGCTGCCAACCTGAATTCAGCAAGTGCACAGAATGCTATGGCAAAGCACAGCTAATTATCTCAAAGTAAAAACTTAGAGCTTGTTTGTTTTCATGCCTTAAGTTAGAATTTCTAGTAGCTATTATTCAGCAGATCTTGGACAAGGAGATATATTAGTACCTTGTTAAAGACAGGAAGTATTACCAAGCATGCATTTCTAGGTTATAAGGAAGAAGGATAATTAGACATATTTCTGTCCCTGCAATTATCAGCAGAAATAAAAGAGTTATCTGTGGTAGTTTGTGGGTTTTAATATATAAATATTTTGATGGCTTATTACATTATAACTTTCCAGCTACTTGCACAACCCTTTCCCTGGTTAGTGTAGAGCAAAACAAGAAGTAGATTTTTCATGTATACTTCATTCTATAACCTGGAATTTTACTTTGAGTTGCCACAAAGGCATTGATTTTTCTAATGGAAGTTTAAAGGCTTTATACTAAGCTGTTGTTAGGTAAAATAGATACTAGTTAATTTTAACTTAAAATCTAAGAGCTAATGTTAGAAGTGCTAAAACCCATCAGAAAGCTAGGATATGCAGCTATGAGCATCACCATGAAAAGAAAAAGATTTTCTGAGTACAGGGGATTATACAGGAATAAGCCTGGGGATTCTTGAGCAGGAAAGCTGAAGCTGCTTCTGTTTAGTGTTTGTTAGTATTCAGGGAATCGCTTCTCTGTGTTTCCTTTACTTTATTCTCCTTTACTCCCCCAAACTCCTTCTTTTAAAGAAATAAAGTCTAAAGTGACTACCTTCTGATGTCTTCTTCTGTACAGGGATGCTGGGGAGGGACTCTTCATTAGGGACTTTAGTTATAGGACAAGGGGTAAAGGATTAAAACTTAAACAGGGGAAGTTTAGATTGGATATAAGAAGGAAATTCTTTCCTGTTAGGGTGGTGAGGCACTGGAATAGGTTGCCCAGGGAGGTTGTGAATGCTCCATCCCTGGCAGTGTTCAAGGCCAGGTTGGACGAGGCCTTGGGTGATATGATTTAGCATAAGGTGTCCCTGCCCACGGCAGGGGGGTTGGAACTAGATGATCTTAAGGTCCTTTCCAACCCTAACAATTCTATGATTCTATGATTCTAGTGAAAATATCCCTGCCCATGACAGCATAGTTGAATCTGGATGGGGAAAAACATGATTATTATTTGACCTTGATGATGGGGAAAGTTTTGGAACCAATCACCTTGAGTGCCACCACATGACATGTACAGGACAACCAGGTGATCAGACCCAGTCAGCATGGCTTTATGAAAAGCAGGTCATGCTTGACTAACCTGATCTCCTTCTATGACAAAGTGATCCATGTAGTGCATAAGGGAAAGGCTTAGAATGTTGACTACCTAGACTTCAGTAAAGCCTTTGACATCGTTTCCCACAGCACTGTCCTAGAGAAACTAGCTGCTTTTGACTTGGATGGGTGTACTTTTTACTGCCAAAAAAATGTCTGGATGGCCAAGCCCAAAGAATGGTAGTAAATGGATTTAAATCCACTCGGTGGCTGGTTACAAGTGGTGTTCCCCAGGGCTCAGTATTGGGGCCAGTTCTGTTTAATATCTTTACAGCATCTGATATCTATTTAATATCTATATCTGAATGAGGGGATCGAGTGCACCCTCAGGAAATTTGCACATGACACCAAGCAAGAATATTGATGTGTTTGGTGGTAGGAAGGCTCTGCAGAGGGATTTGGACAGGCTGGATCAATAGGCCAAGGCTGACTGTATGAGATTCAACAAGGCCAAGTAGTGGGTCCTGCACTTGGGTCACAATGACCCCATGCAACACTACAGGCTTGGCCAAGAGTGACTGGAAATCTACTCAGCAGAAAAGGACCTGGGGGTGTTGGCCAACAGCCAGCTAACCATGAGTCATCTTGTGTCCAGGCAGCCAGGGACAACAACATCCTGGCATGTATCAGAAATAGTGTAGCCAGCAGGACTAGGGCAGTGATCATCCCCCTGTACTTGGTGCTGGTGAGGCTGCACATTGAACACTGTGTTCAGTTTTGGATCCTTCACTACAAGAAAGACATTGAGGTGCTGGAGCACATCCAAAGAAAGGCAGTGAAGTTGGTAAAGTATTTAGAGAACAAGTCTTCTGAGGAGAAGCTGGGATTGTATAGCCTGGAGAAAAAAGGCTGAGACCTTAGCTCTTTACAACTACCTGAAAGGAGGTTGTAGTGACAAGAGAGTTTGTTGATATTAGCAAAAATTACTTCACCAAAAGTGTGATCAAACATTGGAACAGGCTGCCCAGGAAAGTGATGGAGTCACCATCCCTGAGGTATTTGAAAGATGTGTAGATGTGGCACTTAGGGACATAGTTTGGTGGTGGACTTGGCAGTGTTAGCTTAACAGTTGGATTGTGATTTTGAGAGTTGTTTCTAAACTAAACGATTCTATAATCTTTAGAGGACCCTTCCAACATAAACCATTTTACGATTCTGTTTCAGATCCTGTGTGGGCAGAGAGACTTGCTCCGTAGTACTTCACAGTGTAATGTTAAATACACTAATAATTTATGTTGTGTCTCTAGACAAGAAGCCTTCAAACTCTTATTTCATCAATAAATAGGAGTATACATTGGTATAGGATTTCAGTGTTCTTCAAGATTAAGTATTTTAGCATACAAAGGTGTTAGAAAAAAATCATCCATACTAATATTTGGACTGTGCTGTGTTTAAGATGTTATAAGCAAAATAGGATTTCTGCCCTATCATATCAAATTCATAACCCAAACTTTGATTTTTTTTCTTTGCTATGATACCTTTCACAGCAAATATACACTGTGGTATTAAAAGGTATATTATTTAAGGCGTGTGTATAATGTACTCCTTAGTATATGTTGTCATTTTACTACATTTCAGTAGATGGGAAAAGGAATGGACTTTTTCTTACATATTGGGATTTGAATTAAGGCATCTTGGATTCAATTTCTAGCTGCATTTCAAGCTCAATTTTAAATTAGCTAATATTTCCTTTTTGGATTTATACTAATTTCCATTTGCTAGCTGATTAGATACCACAGACACCTCAATATGAATTTACATCAGCACAGGTATTTCTTTCCCACCCTGGGAAGTTCTCAGCTAACGCTCACTGTATGAGCACTAAGAGAGGAGTGAGAGTCATCAGGCTAATGTGGAGTATGAATAGATGCTTTCTACTCAGATTGAAGAGGTGTCCCGGGATTTGATTCGGAAAACACTCAGAAGTTAACAGTCTTGAAAAAGTGTCTCTTGCCTGATGAACTCCTTTAAGAGCTATATTATTTTGACATTGTTTAGTAAGAAGCATTTTTATTGAACTGTGTGTCAAATTGTGCTCTGACAGGAAATTGAGTACATTCCAGAATTTGCTTTCCTGCCAGCAAAATAAAGTAATATTAACTTCCTGTTATTTTTTTTTACACATGTCTGAGTCATGAGCCCAATTTCATGTTTCTTTGCTACTTCAAAATAGCGCTTTCACTGACATGTACCCACCCTTCTAGCTAACTTAGAATCTTACATTTGCCACTTGCTCAGTATACATGTCTTCCATTTACTTTTTCACATTATTCAGTTCATTTGCTCTTTTGCAGAAAGAGGAATAAACTCCCAGGGAGAGTTCAGCAGTACATAACAGCTGTGAATATGTTCCTCTGCTGATGACAAAAATACACAGTGTACCTGACAGTTTTAGAGGTGTGTTTTGTTGACTTTTTTCAACAATTGTTGAATCAATGCTAGCAAGCAGGTGAAGCCACATTAGGTAGTTTTGGAGAGTTTCAGAAGCCTAAATGTTTCTGACCATGGATGGAGCAGAGGAAGGAGAGATATACCCAATGTCAGCAAGAGTAAGAAAGGTTAAATGAGACAGACTCAAATGAAAATACTGGACATGTCGGTCATGATCTTTCAGTGAAAGGGGAAAAAAATCAGCTTAAGCTGATTTAGGTATAAGTTGGAGAAAAATTCTTACCTGATCCCAAAGCTACTGATCAGGTTTTCCTTTGTCAGGGAAGCGTGAGAAATATGACTGCAGTCCTATGCCTCAGATTTTTTTCAGACATCAGAGCACTTGCATGTCATTTGGTGGTCCTACATCTAGCTGTGCCAACCACCAGGTGCTTCAGAAGAAGGTGAGAACTCCTTTCTCTGATGCACTCCTACCCATTTGAAGAAGTCAACATGACTATTCTAAATGTAGATGATGTGAAGAATGCCTTTCCTGGTTCTTGCAGAAGCAGCTGAAATCTTGGAGTGTAACTTACAAGTACTTTTTCCTTTTACGTACCAAGAAGTCCAGTTTTCTTCTCCTGACCTGGAATGGGTGGGTAAACAATAAAAATAACATAACTCCGTCTTTGTCATTAGTTGTTCCAGATCACACTTTGCTAAATTCCATGAGTCAGCATGGGAGTATTTGATGCTTAACAGCACAGTAAGGATTAATAACATTCCTCACAGCCAGAGTGATAGACTTAGGTACTGTACTTATTTTATTGCCCACTGCGCTCACAAAAAAGAAGCTAAAAAACTGCACCCTCTACTCATGAGGCAAGGAACCTAATGACAATGGAAATGGAAAAGGATGAGATGCTGATTGATTTCTTTGCCTCCATTTTTGCGGGAAATGTGTACTCTCAGGCTACTGGGTCAGCAAGCCTTGTGACAGAGGCTGTGGGAATGAAACACCCCACAGAGCAGGTGGAATACTTAAGCAAATAAAACATACATGTATGGGAGTAAATGTGGCTCTGACAGAGCTCACCAAGGTGGATGTGAGGTTGCTTAAAAATTTACAGTAATGAGGGAATGTAACAGCTGGAAAAAGGCAAACATCACATCCTTCTCAAGATAGGCAAAGAGGGAGGCCAAGAAAATGACAAGACAGTAAAGTTTTACACTGGATGCTTTTCAGTTCACACATTACCTGATGCAGGACTAAATGACTTCCCGAATGATGATACCCTTCCTACATAGAAGGTAGGTCTGTGTGTGAGAATTAAAGCACGTGCATACATTCTCTTTCACTCAAAATGAAACTCAAATAAATTAAACCATGTGTGGTCTGCTGAGAATATACTTGTGCTGTGACTACAAGGAGTCTTGTTTTCTGAATTGTATTCATATCATGCCTCTACTCTTCTTTTGGAAGCAGGGGAGATAGCAAGGTTGCTGCTAAGCAGCAGCTGTCACCAGAATGTGTCATGTGTAAGTGGATTAAGTGCCACTGAAGTATATCACTTCTGAAGCCTTTCTGTCTGTTATCAGTTGAAATGATTTATACCCACAGTATTCAGCCCAATGTGTATATCCATTTTCCTCTTTCTACCCATCCCTATGGCCTGTGATGTCTAGTGAGTTTAAGGCTATCTATATTTCTCATTGTTAGTGTTCGGGGAAAGCCTAGCCCTAGAGTCACAGTGCTAAAGTAAAAGTCTGCATGTGACTGACTTGCTCCTGACAAATACTATCTGCAGTCTTAGCATTAATGGTGGTGCCTGTTTAGAAAAACAAAGCTGTATTAATACCCCTTTAATCCTTGTCATCATTTCCCACAGGGAATTTATTTTTTTTTTTTTCCTCACAGACTTATTATGGCAAACTCTCAAAATACTTGTTGCAGAAAATACTTTTCAGCACATTTTTTTCTGACTAAGTTATTTCAGCGACTGAGATTTTCACTTCCATTTCTTTGGGCACATCTAAGCAATGAAACTAAACATTGATTGAAAATATTTTGATATTTGAATTGTTTTAAAAAATGCAGTTTCTTGGGAAGGGGAAGAGTCCGGTAGGTATTTGAGTAGTGCTGAATAAACACAAAATACCATTAACTTTTACTGGGACTGAAGAAATCAGGCTCAGATAAGAGAGAACACCACAGCTGGTTCTTTATGTTGGCTGGGTAGGAGACAGTTTAGATTCAAAGGCCTTTCACTGAAATTCGAATAACATCCATTATAAAAGAGAACTCTTTCTTTTTAACAAGTCCATATAATCTAGAGTACAAGCAAAATAATATTGGCTCCATATGCATACATGTCAGAAAGCCTGTCAAACTCTTCTTAGGTGTTTGAAAAGTTTGATTGTGGGAATGTAAAATAATAATTCTTTTTCTTCTATTTTTTTGTTTGTGGTGTTTCTTGAAGTGGTACATTTTGATTAAGGAAAGATGACATCTGTGCATTTGTACAGCAGCTATTGCATTTGGATGTTCATTTGGTTTTGGTCTCTTACTACTCTAGCAGTGAAACTGATAGGTGAAAAAACAAGCAGATTTGTGGCTTTGGAGGTGGGAAAAGGGGAAACAATATCCAAAACAGTACAAAATCACATCTCTCTTCCCAACTCTGATGCTGCAGTTCTTCCAGTCTGTCCTGGGTTCATCAGTAGCAGTCATTTTTCTCCTTCTTGGTAGCTGGTGCAGTGCAGTGTTTTGACTTGCAGCCTGGGAACAGAGCTGATAACAATGATGTCTTGGCTTGGCCAAGGACTTTGTGAGCCTCATGCTCTGCCAGGGAGGAGGGGAAGCCAGGACGAAGCAGAGACAGGACACCTGACCCAAACTGACCAAAGAGGTATTCCATACCACAGCACGTCATGCCCAGGAGGTAACTGAGAGTTACCCAGAAGGGCTAGGACTGAGGGTTGGAGGAGGTATCGGTTGGTGCTTGGTCGGGCTGGGGGGGGGGCGAGTTATCGGTAGGCTGGTGATGAGGTGTTGTGTTCTCTTTCCTTGTTGTTTCCTTTATCATTATTATTATTGGTGGTAGCAGTAGTGATTTGTGTTATACCTTAGTTACTAAACTGTTCTTATCTCAACCAGTGAGAGTTGCATTCTTTTTGGTTCTCCTCTCTGTCCCTCCAGGAGTCTGGGGAGGGAAAGAAGGGGGGGAGTGAGTGAACAAGTTGCCTGACTGGGTTTAAACCACGACACAGTCATCTCTTTCTTAAAAATAGGTGTAACTGGATTCCTTTATTGCTGCTCAGTCACTTGTCTTTATAAGGCGATCATCACTTCCTAAAACAGTCATTAAAACCACAAACATCCAGATTGCCATGATTCGGGAAAAGGAAATCACACCATGTAGTAGGGTGATGTTGCATTGTTTTGTGGTCTTCTGAAACCTGGTCTTTTGAGACCTGGTAGATATGGGTACAATAACCTCTGATGACTATTGCTAATTAGCAAATTTAGCTGGCAGCTCCCAGCACTGCCAATCTATTAATTTTTGTATTCACATAGACTCATTTGAGTACATAACTGAAGGGAAAAATACCCACAACATAATGCATGAGGTTGAAGTATGTCTTGTACAATCATTAAATGATGATCTGTTTATTTTTAGAACCTTAAGTTAGGTCTTGGATTTTAATTTAAGGTCAAATCAAAACTGATCAGTTGCCATAAATTTCAGAGTGAAGAAGAATACACACAAAAGAGAAACAAAATTATGTTGGTATGAAAAGAAAATCATCTGGTAGTAGCTGACAAAATACTATATGGTAGGGCAATAAATTAGTCCTTTGCAGAATCTCTCATATTTCATATTGTGTACTCATTTCCATTTGACTTGGTGAAGAAGGTCAGTTTGTAAGTAACACCCTGTGAAATTGCCAAGAATATACTGCCAGCCAATGAAAACTGATGTAACGCTACTGGTGTTAACAGAAATAGACACATTGCGATGACTACTTATTATCAGAAGTTATTGATTTGAGTTCCATCTTTGTTGGTTTAATGTGTTTGCTGACACTTGTATCTTTTATTTTAAATGTATCAAAATTCTGCAGGATAGTAGTCTGGTATTTCTTACAACTTCTAACACTGGTGGTCTTAGAAATAGAACTTGCAAATGAAATTCTATCAATCACCTTAGTTCCCTTAAATTTGAAAGTTAGCCTCTGTCATCTCCCCAGGGTTGCTAAAGAATTCAGTGACATCAGTACGCACTTCTACTTTGTCTCACTTTGGCAGAGAAACAGTAAAACCAGTACATAGAATTCAGGTCACCACTAGTCTCATGCAAGCTATAATAGATACCAGTGCTAAACAGGGTCCAAATAGAGTTTCTACTTCAGTCATTGTATGAAATTCTGTCTGTAAATGCCATATTAAAAATTAATTAATGTAGTTCATATTTCTGCTCATATCAGTCTAGAAATATTAAATTGTTTTCAGTCTATAATTACACAAAAGAGGGGAAAACTGATAAATATATTTTTTATTGGAAAAAGAATATGTGGGTGTGAATGAGACTTAACTGCCATGTGCCTTACTAGTCACAACACAGTATTTTTCCAGCTCTGATAAACTTGGACAAAACCTAGTTCCTTTTATAACTAATGAAAGATGAAGTCACAGGAAATGCTTCCTTTGTGTAGCTGCACTAGAAAACTCTGCATTTTAGAAAGCTTATTCCAATTTGAGATTAATTTGAAATTCAATGTAATTCCAGATTTTTGGTGACATCATGTAAAGCATCCTCAGAAGATTATCTGAGATGTAAGTTAGAAGGAGATGTTGATGTGAATGAAACATATTAAAGATATCAGAGCCATCAGCAGCTGTGAATTAAACCACAGCCATTCAAGATCAGTGGACTTGCTGAACATTGTTCAAATACAGCTCATTGAGCAATAATATATTCTGTCTGGTTTGGAAGTATACTAGTAATTTGAGAAATGCTATTTGGCAATAGCCTAGCATCAGATATGTGTGCTCAGGTGTATAAAGTCTGAGCCAAGACTGTTGTAGGATGGCATCTACTGCATGATTTTTTCATTATTTCATAAGATTGAAACATCTCTTCAAGAATGGATAGCAATCACCTTTAGTTGTATCAAGAGTCTGATTTTTTTTAAACAGAAACATTTCTGTGATTTACTTGCAGAAAGGGGGTTTCTTTTCTGAGATAGCAGCAATAGCCTGTTGCCAACATCTTATTTGCAAGGTAAATGAAAGAGCTGAAAACATTGGGTGATATACAGGGAATTTATCTCTTAGAAAAAAAGACCAATGTGCAGTAGGCAGGATGCTTTTGTTGAAGAAAAAGCAGGAAAATTTAACGGTTTTCAGTTTAGAAATAATTTTTTTTTACTTGACTACAGTTTCTGATGAATGACTTTATTAATTTTTGAATTAATAAGTAGGAAATTTTTCTTTCCAATAATGATATGGAACTTCTTACTAGTTTAATAAAACTCTGTTTTTCCCATCTGTTTAGCATCTCAATATGCTCAGATATTTAAGTAATATTATTTGGAGTGATGTTGCTTATATATCCAAGATTTTGGCTTCTATGGTCATGGATCTACTTTTGAGATGGGTCTGTTGGGAGCCAATGGGATTCAGCTGACCAAGTGGGGCAAGAGCGTCTTTGCCAACAAGCTGGTCAGACTTATAAGGTGAGCATTATAGAGTACAACTGCACACCACCCACAGACCGATACCCAGCCCAACCTGAGCAGCAATCTGGGCCTTCTGTGTGAGTCCCCCCAGTCATCCCAGGGCATGACATGCTGTGGTATAGAATACCCCTTTGGCTAGTTTGGTCAGGTGTCCTGCCTCTGCTTCCTCCCAGCTCCTTGTGTCCCTCCTCCCTGGCAGATCATGTGACTCAGAAAGTCCTTGGTCAGAGTAAACGTTACTTAGCAACAGCTGAAAACATCGGTGTTGCCAGTGTTGTTCCCAGGTTGAAAGTCAAAACCACAGCACTGCACCAGCTACTAAGGAGAAAAATGACTGCTACTGCTGAACCCAGGACAGATTGTCAGAGGGTAAGAAAACGCATGTTTTTTTTCTCGAGGCTTTTTTTTTTTTAAATTGGTTTGGTTAGGTTTTTTTGAAGGATGGGGAGGCTGAACCTTTTTGTTCTGTCTAAGAGTAGGCAAATGTGTGATGTAGAGATGGCACAGGCAACTAGAAATGTGAAATTTTAATCTTAACAATTTTTTAAGATTCAGCTCAACAAAGCCATGGCTGACCTGATCTTAACATAGAATCACAAAATA